TTTTTCTTTTTGCTTATGTGGTGCTGAGGAATCGAACCCAGGGCCTCATGCATGCAAGGCAAGTGCTCTACCACTGAGCCACCTTCCCAGCCCCTCAATAAGTGTTTTTTAAGTTGTGATTGTGACCAGTATTTGAACACACTGTAGGCTAGGATGAGAAATATTATAGTGTGTTACATGTTAGTGAGAATAAGTAGCTGGGACATGGCTCAAGTGATATAAGGCCCTAAGTTCAAACTTAAGTACTGGCCCACTATCTAGAAAGGTGAGCATTATTTCCTGAAAGATGTGTTTTCTGATACTTGTGTATGTGTACATAATAGCTGTAGATAAATAGTGCAGTAGACACAGATTTTTATATTAAGTATATTTCTTACTGTAAGTTATGCTCAAAAAAGTTTAGATGCTAATCTATTAGGGGAATATGGATCTTAATATCCCCTAAAAGATTAGTATCTGAAGCTTTTTGTGAGTCATGGTGGGGAGGTGGAGAGGAGAAAATGGAATCAGGTGTGTTTTTCTGGCATAAGTAAAACTTGGCTGTATAATTGAGACAGCAGTTTTTAACCCCACACATAATCTTTCTTTCTTGCTTAAAAATCTTACCTTATGTTCCTCCCTTTGGTGACTTAACAGATTATTTGGGTAACTATATCATAGTCTCAAACATTTTAGTCAGTGATTCTAATATATAGCTATATTTATTTATTTGTTTATTTATTTGTCGGTTTGGGGGCTTGAACTCTGGACCTGGGCGCTGCCTCTTAGCTCTTCAGCTCAAGGCTAGCACTCTAACACTTGAGCCACAGCGCCTCTCCCAGGTTTTTTTTTATCGGAGATAAGAGTCTACAGACTTTCTTGCCTGGGCTGGCTTTGAACTATGATTCTCAGATCTCAGTCTCCTTAGTAGCTAGGATTATAGGCATGAGCCACCAGTGCCAGCTTTATATAGCTGTCTTAAGAACTGCTGTTTTGGGGCTGAGAAGGTGGCTCAGTGGTAGAGCTCTTGCCTTGCATGCTCAAGGCCCTGGGTTCGATTCCTCAGCACCAGCTAAGCAAAAAGAAAAAAAAGCCGGAAGTGGCGCTGTGGCTCAAGTGGTAGAGCGCTAGCCTTGAGCTGAAGAGCTGAGGGACAGCGCCCAGGCCCAGAGTTCAGGCCCCACGACCGGACCCCCCCCCAAAAAAAAAGAACTGCTGTTTTAAGTGCTTTTGTTAAATAACTAATTATTCCCTACATCCATAATTTTGATTCCCTTTATTCTCAAGTGAGATGCAAAATTGTGTATATCAAGGTTAATTTGAAGCACAGGTCTCGGAAACCTAGCATATTTCAGAAATTAAATATCAAGAGATGTAAAAATATTTTCTGGGTCTTTCCTTAGGCATCTGGTGTATTTGACTGAAATAATGATTATAGAATGATGGTATAAAGGAGTAAGGGAGTGGAGAGGTGATGTTCGGTGTTTGTAGGGCTTCCAGTTACTTAATGTCACCACATGACATTCACCAGAGTGGTATTCTGAAGACCGTTATAACCCAGTGATGACATTAGAGTATTTGGCTAACTAAAGACCTCTAAATTTGCGGTAACTTTTGTTATTCTTTACATGTCAACACGATGCTACTTAGCCACTGATAAAACATACCTCATTTCAGAGGCTTTCTGGATTCCTATGCAACTTGAGCTCCTCTTTCTCTTAACTGCTTTACATGCTTTAATTTTCCCCTAGTATAGCATTCATGGTTCCCCCCCCCCATGTGTGTGTGTGTGTGTGTGTGTGTGCGTGTGTGTGTGTGTGTGTGTAACTCCCTCTCTCATTCCTTCCCTCCTCTCCCTCTTCTCTTTCCTGCTTGAATCACCCCAGCCTTTTGCTCTGCATTTTTGTTTTAGATAGCCCTGGTGATTGAACTCAGAGCAAGTGTTCAATTTGAAATTGTTGGGAAGAGGTTGTTAGTTTTTAAGTGTTCAGAACTTAAGGTGAATTTTATAGTAGAAATCAATACATTGTGTTTGAAAGTAAATAAGTAATAGAAAGTTAAGCATGTTAATAAGAAAAAGATACATACCAGAAGAATTGAAAAGATTTGAATATGTTGTCATTAGAAGTGGGAAATGAAATGGAGACAGTAAGCACTATTGTTTTCATAGTGAACTCTACAGACTTCTTAGCTGTTTAATTGATGTGAAGGTGCATATAATTTCAGATCTATGAAGGATTGCATTAAGCTATATTATAATTATATATAATTTTGATAAAAATTAAAGCTTAATATAAAATTACAGTTTGTAAAGAAAAGTTTAAAACCAGGAATTATTGCTACAAAATAGCAATAAAAATTTAAGGACCAATTGAGAATATCTAAAAATCAGATACCATTATTAGGAATCTCTGGAAACTAAATCAATATTCTACTACTCATTTGTTTTTGGTAATTAAGCATTCATACAGCTAGCTCATGGTATGTGTTACAGGAAATACTGAAAAACCTTTAAATTGAAATTATGTTTTTAAATCCCCTTTCTTATTATTTTTATGCATAGAAACAACTGAAGTAAATCTGAACTTTTCGTGTATTTTTAGTGAAATTTCTTATAAATAAGAAATATCTACATTTTTACATAGTTTTACATAGGTTTTTAATAGAGAAGTTTAATAGTCTCTGCTTCTGTACAATTATGAACTTGGAAATCTTTATTGTTCATTGTTACTAAAGTATTGTATAAGTTAGATTTGTTAGGTGATGCTTAAACAGATTATTAAATTACTTTTACATGTCATTTTAAGAATTGGTACAATCTAGTAGTAGGGACTAGTTTTCAGTATGTAGAGCCTCAATGTATGAAGATAATTTGTGGAAAATAACTTAAGGCCTTTCTAACAGTCAATTACTATTTAAGTGGATGCCTTTGTTTCACATAAAGGAAAAGTATTTTCAACTTGTTATATATTGAAAATAAGGAGGCTAAACCCAAATGTCAGGTTTTAACTTCAAACTTTACTTTTCTGTATATTAACAATGGAAAAGAAGAAATATGGGTCCTAAAGGAAGCAACAAAGAGGGGAAATGAGAGGTTGAAAATCTCTGGGATTGGGGCTGGGAAGGTGGCTCAGTAGTAGAGCGCTTGCCTTGCATGCATGAGGCCCTGGGTTCGATTCCTCAGCACCACATAAGCAAAAAGAAAAAAGCCAGAAGTGGCACTGTGGCTCAAGTGGTAGAGTGCTAGTCTTGAGCTGAAGAGCTGAGGGACAGCGCCCAGGCCCAGAGTTCAGGCCCCATAACCGGACCCCAAAAAAAAAAAAAAAGAAAATCTCTGGGATTGAAAAAAGTAGATAAGATTGTCTATAAATTGTCTGTCGAAACCAAATGTGGGATATAGGTGCTCAATGTACTATATGTACAAAGATTAATGAATTATCAAGGAGCAGCAATACTACATACTTCTTTTTTTTATTGTGAAAATACTGTACAGAGGGGCTATAATTACATGGGCAAGATAATGAATACATTTCTTGTCAAGCATTGTAGCCTCCTCCTTTGTTTCCCCTTCCCATCCATTCCTATCCTCCCCTCTCACCCAATCCTCCCCCCCTTCACCAAAGTTGTAAAGTTCGTTTTCAACATAACGACTTGTACATCTCATTGTTGTGATGGGTCCACCTGTATCCCTATTTAAACGATTTGTTTTTCCCCTTCCCCTCCACAAATTATACTGACATCAAATACAGTGAAAGCAGGGGTTACACTGTGGGGGAGGGACATACATAGCAACAAAGAAATAATCTTATAAATGTGTTAGAAACAATCACATGAAAGAAAAAAAACATTTGAATACATATCTTTAAGGCTACTTCTGATAAAATCTTGAACTCATAGGCAAAAATGATATTACTTAATAGCATTTTATGCCTTGGGTTTGATGGTAGTAGGATGAGATTGCTCCATTTTTTATTATATTTTTATCTGATAATATGGAACTTTATAAATTAGTATAACTTTCACATTTTTCCTCTGCTAACTACAATTATTTTTTGACTTTCTAATATTGTTATGAACAATGATTAAAGAGATTCAAATAGCAGTAAGGGAGAGGAGTCTAGGGAAATGGGTCGATGAATGAAGAGAGGGAGAAGAATACAGTCATAAAATTCAATTCATAGCCTACAAAGTTAAGAAAGTTGAGGGGAGGAATAGGGTCAAGAGGGATGGGAAGAATGATGAAAGGGATGACATGCATCAAGATGCATTATATTCATAATGTTGAATATATTCATAATGTTGAATGGTAACTCCTTTGTGCATCTACTAAAAGATAATAAAAATGTATTGAAAGTGTAAAAAACAAGCAGTTAACCTTTCAATTTTTTCTGTGTGAACATCTATATATACCCATTTAAAGTAAAACTTGTAATTTTGCGGGTCATAATTTTTTCTTTTTTGTCTTTTATCTTTTTGTGTTTTATTAAAGATGGGAACAGAGAAAGGACCCTCATGGTAGAACCTATTATGTGGATCATAATACTCGAACTACCACATGGGAGAGACCACAGCCTTTACCCCCAGGGTAATGTTGCATCTTTATTTATCTTCATTTTTAACATGTGTGATTTTTAATGTGTACAGCATTAATTGCATAATAGGCTCTAAAGATGAACTCAGAGATTAAAGAGGCCCTTGCAAATTTTCATTCAGTAGTCTCAGTGAAATAAACCCCATGTTATAGCTGTGTTTTGATGGGTTAAATGAATGATTGTCAGGTGGTAATTCTTTCAACAAAGTAACAAAAGATTCTTTTGTTATGTCTTAGACTTGATTTTTAATTTGAGTGAAGTTCTAACTAGTTTTCAGCCTCTTATAGAAGATTATTGTGTATTTGTGACAGTTGGGAAAGAAGAGTTGATGACCGTGGGAGAGTGTACTATGTGGATCATAACACCAGAACAACAACATGGCAGCGTCCCACCATGGAGTCTGTTCGAAACTTTGAACAGTGGCAATCTCAGCGGAACCAATTGCAGGGAGCTATGCAACAGTTCAACCAACGATACCTCTATTCGGTAATGAGCAGATTATAACATGGGACTACAGACTTGTGTTCACCATTTGTTCTCTTCTACTTTGGTCATATTCTAAAGTTGAACAGACTACATTTCTTTCTTTCTTTCTTTCTTTCTTTTTTTTTTTTTTGCTGGTCCTGGAGCTTTTGAATTCAGGAACTAGGCTCTGTCCTTGAGCCTCTTCTGTGTTCAAGGCTAGCCCTTTACTACTTGAACCACAAGTGCCACTTCCAGCTCTTTCCTTCTTTCTTCCTTTTTTTCTTCCTCCTTCCTTCTTTCCTTTCTTCCTTCCTTCCACCCCACTCCACCCCTTTCTCTTTCTTTCTTTCTGGTTGTAGGGCTCGAACTCTGGGCGTGGGCGCTGTCCTCCAGCTCTTTAGCTCAAGGCTAGAGCTCTACCACTTGAGCCACAGCGCCACTCCTGCTTTTTCTGGTGGTTTGTTGGAGATAAGAGTTTCATGGACCTTCCTGCCCAGGCTGATTTTGAACCGAAATCTCAGATTACAGGCATGAGCCACCAGTACCGGGCTACTTCTGACTTTTTCTCTGTATATGGTACTGAGGAATTGACCCCAGGGCTTCAAGCCACATTCCAAGCCAACATTTCAATTTTTTTTAATTAAGCTTTAAAAAATAACTATTGTTCCTATTATATATATAATGTATATATATATATATATGTATATATATATAAATATTTCTTGCTTTGAAGCATTTCAGATTTTGAATTAGGGATGCTCAATCTTTATATAATAAATAAGAATTTATGGACTATGAATGTTGGTTTGGTTTCTATATGGGTCTTCGCTGTGAGCCTGAAAACCTTAGAGCAGCAGGACAAAATTAGGTAGTAGGTATATGTACAGTAGAAATATTTTCTACTGTAACAGAATCTCCTTAAGTGGACTGAGGTTAGTTATTTCAGTAGAACAATAAATTTTGGATATGAGTCTAGGACAAATACTACATTGGCTCACAATGCCATCAGGTAACCAAGTTCATGCATCATACTTGTGTGCGACTTCCCTCCAGTTCTGATTTCCAGAGTCTATGCAAGAAGAAAGGGAAAGGAGAATTGAAAGGAAAGAGCTTTGTTCTACCCTCATACCTAGCAAGCTCTTGCCATTTGCTTAGCAAGAGATAGGTACACCATGGCCTTCTGCCTATAACTCATTGGCAAATCTGGTCTCTCTACCGATCCGGCCACAGGGCAGGCAGAGAATATGTATCCTTGGGGATACATGGTAGTTTCATTATCAAGAAAGCAGGGGTTAAAAATATATACTGTATCTATTTCTATCTGTCTATTTATCTATCTATCTATCTGTCTATCTATACTGAAATATCTGTAATACCAATCAAGAGCATATACTTTATCAATCAGAAATTAGGAAAGAATGACCGGAGTATAAAACATGAGGACTGTTAAAGAGGATGGTGACCAGGGGAGGGGGAAGGGTAAAGAGAGAGGGTATGTCAGGGTGAGTACCATCAAAGTACTTGGTTTGTATCCATGTCTGAAAAGAGATAGTGAAACTCATTAAAATTGTTTTAAAAAGGGAGGAGGATAAGTAATAGAGGGCATGAATTTGATCAAAGTACATGGTACACATACATAGAAACACCACAATGAGGCCCCTTTGTGTTTACATCTATATTTTTAAAAAATTTATATTATTTTAAAATTCATAATAGAATATATTTTCTTCTGTATATATTGATACATTATATAAACATGAAAATATGTAAATTATACAAATATACTAAGTCTAATATATAAATGGTTCTAGAGTTTAATATTGTTTGTATTAATGAACATTTGTTTTTAAAAGCCCTGTTATAGTTCTGTTTTTTTATTTTTATTGTTTTCATTCTATATTTTAATTTCTGCCTTATTTAAATATTATAATATTTTACATGCTCTTTGCTCATCTTCTGTCTCCCCATAGATCATTATGGAAGGACTAGAACATTAAAATATTGATATCAATATATCATTTCTAAGTCCTTTTTACAAAACTAATAATTATATCAGTTGGTTAGCTGCTATTATATTTATAACTTTGTTTTTTAAATTGAAGGGTATGACTCTGCCACGTTGTTTAGTATCTTTTTACTGTTATACTGAAATTCCACTGTTTTATTTCTGCACTCAACTCTTTCTCCAATTAGGCTTCAATGTTGGCTGCAGAAAATGACCCGTATGGACCTTTACCACCAGGTTGGGGTAAGTTGATAGGGTTTTGATTAAAAAAAAACACCTGTCCAGTATATAAATCAGATAGTTATATAAATATTACATCACTTTGTTTTTAGAAAAAAGAGTGGATTCAACTGACAGGGTTTACTTTGTGAATCACAATACAAAAACAACCCAGTGGGAAGATCCTAGGACTCAAGGGTATGTATATACTGCAGCCTTACTTAAGTCCTATCTTGCATATAACTGTAAATTGAAACAATGAGCCTTAAGTACCTAGAAAATATTCATTTGGAAATCTCAACTTCTGTCTTTTAGCTTACAGAATGAAGAACCTCTGCCAGAAGGCTGGGAAATTAGGTATACTCGGGAAGGTGTTAGGTATTTTGTTGATCATAACACAAGGACAACAACATTCAAAGATCCTCGCAATGGGAAGTCATCTGTGTAAGTGAAAGTGTGAAAAATACCGTAAATGGTACTTAATGAAGACATGAGTTTAGTCTCTAAGGCAGCTTCAAGTTGAGCAGGAAATTCTACTTTCTCATTCAAGAAAACCTGCATGAGTAATACCTTAGTATCTCTTATTTTTGCTTTGTCTTATTCCAGAATGGATTTGTGGCATATAAATGTATATCATACAGTATTTTATATATCATACAACATATAATAGTAGTAAATATACATAGTGATTAATAACTGCCAAGGGTTGTTCTAAGTTCTTTGTATCTATTAGTTCATTTTTATCTTCCAATAACCCCTTAATGTATTTTTCTGGTTATCAAGTGAGTAAATGGCTAGAACAAGCATAGCTAACTGCAAAGTTGTGAGGCATGAAATACAGCTGGGGAAGTGGCGCTGTGGCTCAAGTGGTAGAGCGCTTGCCTTGAGCTGAAGAGCTGGGGGCCAGTATCCAGGCCCAGGGTTCAAACCCCATGATTGACCAAAAAAAACCCACAAAAGCTGTGAGAAATAGAGCCAGTTTCAGAACAATGCAATCTGTCCCCCATCTGTTCTCTTAGATGCCACATCATACTGCACCAACAGCTTCTGTGAATAAGATGTTGAGCAAAACTGAGTTTTCCAGATAGATTCCTTAATTGAGCAGTTGCCTTTATCCTTACTAATGTGTGTCATGTGTGATCTCTTTCTCTTCTTTGTGTTCACATCTTGTATAATGTTATGCTATTCTCTATAGAAAAACCAGACTGATTTTTAAAATTCAAATAAAAAGTTAATTCTCAGTACAAAAGTGTACTCAGTAGAATCTTTATAATGACCTATTAGGCCTTGTAGAATCTGATTTATCATCTCTTTAACTTCTGTTTTCCTGTTTATTCACTATGCACCACGTTCACAGGCCACCTGGTTGTACCTCAAACTCCTTAGGCTTCCACCTCTGTATGGTCCTTATTCCTTCTGCTTGGTATAATCTTTCTCTAAATACCTACATGGTTTATGTCCTCTCCCTCTTAATATTTTTGCTCAAATATCCACTGGTCAATCTACTCTTATTTTTCTTCCCATACCACTCCTAATCTTTGTCTTACTTCCTTCTCTTACCTCTGGTACTGAGGATTGAACTCAGGGCCTCATCCTTGCTAAGTGCTTTACTACTTGAGTTATGACCAAGTTCTATCCTTTCTGCTTTTAAGAAACACACCTCACCCCTAAAATAGTAAGCCCTTTATCAAATCCCCTTTTAACATTTACTATAGTAGTTTACTTATTTGTGTGTTTTTCTCTCTCTCCTTCACTAGCACTTACTTGCTAATTCCACAAAATACCTGTTTCACAAAAATGCATTTTACCTATTAATAAATAATGCACTCACTATCTAGAAAACACATTCAGTTAATTTTTGTTGAATTAACTTGAATCTAACAATGTAAGAGAACACTCTCTTTCTACTCTTAAATATTCCCTCAGATTTTGCAAGTTCCTTTGTACCTATCTGTTAGGCTATCTCTAAACAGACAGCAGATCCAGACCTTCTCTCTTGTGAGACAAATTATAATAAACGATAAACCCCTACATTCCTAGATGCCACCACTATGCATCTTCTCTCACTGACTGATTTATGTGCCCTGGTTGTAACTTCTTCCTAGGAATTTGTTCTTGCTTTGTTTGTTTTCTCCAGCAGAATCTTTTTGTTCAGGTTAGGTTTGTGATAGGGTATGATTTTTTTTTTCTTTTTTTTTGCCAGTCGTGGGCCCTGAACTCTGGGCCTGGGCGCTGTCCCTCAGCTCTTCAGCTCAAGGCTAGCGCTCTACCACTTGAACCACAGTACCACTTCTGGCTTTTTCTGCTTATGTGGTGCTGAGGAATTGAACCTAGGGCCTCATGCATGCAAGGCAAGCGCTCTACCACTGAGCCACCTTCCCAGCCCTTTTTTGTCTTTTTTATCTGCAGTGACTATCCTCATTTAGACTTAGGGATTGGGCAAAGGCTTTCTTTGAAGTAATCTGTAGTAGACTTAAATGTTTTAGTTAACTAATTACTTAAGAAAACACTCATGCCTCCATGAAGTGGAGCTGTGATTGCCTTATGCTCGATTCTCTGTTGTCTTATAGAATGTAGCTTTATTTCTCTCTCTGTAAATGACTGTCTTTAGTCATATCTAGGGTTCTAGTACACTCTGATTTCATTTTGAATATTAAATACTCAACTTATTATGAATTAATATATTGTTCATTTTGTTTTTCTTTAGAACAAAAGGTGGTCCACAGATTGCTTATGAACGCAGCTTTAGGTGGAAACTTGCTCACTTCCGTTATTTGTGCCAGGTACTACAGTGGTAAATAAATCTTATCTTTATAATCATTCAGTCTGATCTTTATAGTATATGTATATATGGCTTACACGATGTTATGATATTTTTTTTGTTTTTAGTCTAATGCACTTCCCAGTCATGTAAAGATCAATGTGTCCCGGCAGACGTTATTTGAAGATTCCTTCCAACAGGTAAGGTAAAGAGAGTTGAAAATTTGAATACCACTTCCAGAGTGATCACTATAATAATAATAGTTGTATTAAACCTCACCATGCGTTGCGTGATTGACATTTGCTTTGACATTGGCATCTTATCTTTGTTATTTCATTCATTCTCATAGTATGAAAATTTTGTATGTAAAGATGTTGAGACTGAAAGACAATTACTCTATCATGAATTTAGATGTGTTTGTACTAAACAAACAGTAAACAACTTTTAGAACAAGTTGATCTGTTTCAACACTTAGCTAAGAATTTATTACCTCTAAAAAGGTTTTGATAATACTAACAAATTTAAATTAAATTCGTGGATACTGTATTTCATTTGAATTTTCAACTAGTAGCCACTATTAATAAAATAATAATAAGTTAAACTTAACAGAGACAATAACTTTGATAATTCATTCTCACCTTTAGGTTTCCTTTTAAATATCACGATCTCAGAGCAACTTATCTGAGCATGCTATTTAAGATGCCCATCCTGCTCATCTCCTTCATAGTCACTTTTTAGCATTTATCCTACTTCGTTCTTTTTTGTAACACCTGATACCTCATGTATTAGGTTTTCATGGTCTCCCTTACTAGAATGCAAGCTCCATGAGAACATGGCTATTTAACTTGTTCTTTTGCCCAGTACTTAGACTAGTGACATGATAGTTAATGTAGCTATAGCAACCTTTTTTTTTTTTGGTGTGAGTTAATAAATCCTTAGCAAAACAAGTGTTTCCCATTTCCAAATACCTTGCTCCGAGGTGGTGAGCTGATTTTAGTGATTACATCTAAATTCTTTTTAGACTTTATTTTCCTTTGTGCTGTCTTGGGAGGAGAAGTGTGGTCTTTTATTGCTAGATGACATGGAGCCTCTGACTGCCCCTCAAGGGCTGCTGGTAAACTGTGCTCTGTCTTAGACCTGCCAGTCTTCACTGTGTGGTTCTGACATATGTGTGGTGGAAGTAGTTCATTTTTATCCACAGGTAAAGCCTACTTAATTTTAATGTTTATGTAAACTTATCCAGTATGAAAACTTGGTTAAGTATTAAGATATTTTATAGTTTATAAAAACGTATCATTACTTTCCTACTAAGCATTGACATGAGAGATGTAAGCAGAATATAAAACAAGTTCTTTTGCTGCTTAATTATTGCTGCTTGGAAAAAATTACAGGTCATTTTATTGAAAGATTTTGGTATAGGTTTGAGGCATGAGGAAGAAGACAATGTTTTCTGATTACTTAAAAGTCTCCTTGCTGGGCCCTGGTGGCTCATGGGTAATGCTAGCTATTCAGGAGACTGAGCTCTGAGGATCAAAGTTTGAAGCTAAGTATAAATTGTTTTAAAAGTCACTTATGCTCTCTCTGTGTTTAAATATTCTTGTTTTTGTTTTTATTAGATTATGGCATTAAAACCATATGACTTGAGGAGGAGATTATACGTAATATTTAGAGGAGAAGAAGGACTTGATTATGGAGGTCTGGCAAGGTAAAATTAAACACATATCTGCTTTGAAATAAGCATTCTCATTGTATGCAGTGAGAATATATTTAAAAAGATAAACTATAAAATTAAAAATGTAACATTGATGTGGTAGTGAGATATAGTTTAGTGGTATAGCCTAGCATGCATGAGAACTTGAATTTCATTGTCAGCACTCCCACTTAAGTAAGGAGTGGAGAGGGAAGGGAAATGTGAAAAACAAGAAAGGTAATGTTTTGGCTATTTTATACACTGTAGACATTTTTCTGTATCACTTTCATAAAAATACCTATCTATCTATCTATATCTATATCTATATCTATATATATATAAAGCTAGTATTCTTTTTTATCAAATATCTACAAATTTATATCCCATTTATGGACATAACATAACTATATTTTAGTTTTTGTTACTTTAGCATTGTATATTGTTTTTATGTTTATGCTTTTAATCTAATCAGTCATTCTTTTGAGAAAGACATTTTCCACATGTTAATGGTAAATGTATATCTTAGTAATGAGTGGGAAATCCTTAAAATTTATTTTCTCTTAATTGCTTTGCACAAACTTAATAACAATTCATTTTTTAGCAAATGTTTCATGAAGTCTTTCCTAAGAATTCAACTTAATATTCATAGAAACAACTGTTTGAGTTTGTATTTTACAAGTATACATAATTACAAAATCATAATTTTAGTATAACTAACAAAAAGAAATGCAGGACACTTGTAGCAGCAGATAGCTAATATATATGGGATTACCAGTTTTATTACAGCTAGTATATATCTTCATGCAATATGTCTTCTACAGTAAATATTACCTACCATGATAAGTGTTCATACCTGTTATGAGTTTTTCTCAATTTCAGAAATGTTTAGAAGTTAAAATGAAAGGTATGTCTTAGAAAATAGGATATTGTTTTCCATTGTCTGAATTCTTATTGGCTTCAAATGTTTGTGTCTGGATTTATATCTTGCCATTTTAATGTATTTAGCCAACTCTTTTCTTCCAGATATTTGGGTGTTTAATTGGAGACTAAGAGTCTCACAAACTTTAATGCCTGAGCAGGCTTCAAACCTGATCCTCAGATCTCTGCCTCCTGAGTAGGATTACAAGTGTGAGTCATGAGGACTCAGCTAAGACAAGTTTTTTATACTATTGTTTCCCTATTTCTTAATTCTTTATTTGATTCATGTGCTGGTGGGCTAGATTTATCATTAAATGTTTTATTCAAGAGTTCATGGGCTAATTGGGCATTGGTGGCTCACATTTGCAATCCTAGCTACTCAGGAGGCTGAGATCTGAGGATCATGGTTCAAAGCCAGCCCAGGCAGAAAAGCCCCCATGAGACTCTTATCTCCAATTAACACCCAAAATCTGGAAGTGGAGCTGTGGCTCAAGTGATAGAACGCTAGCCTTGAGCACAAAGAGGCTCAGCAACAGTGCCCTAGGACCAGCAACAAAAAACCAAAACCAAAAAAAAGAGTTCAAGGGTTGTATATTCCTAAACCTTTGCATGTCTGAAAAAATGGTTTTCTGTTTATTTATAATCAGCAAACTCACCTAATATAAGTATCTCACATAACACTTGCTTCTCCAGTACTCTTTAGGTATTACTTCACCATTTTCTAGCATTGAATATAAGTACTATGAACTACAAAGCTAGCCCCTGTAGGAAACTTATCTCTGAGTCCATACACACAGTTCTTTACCTTAAGGTTCATTAATTTCATTGTTGTTTATATCTTTTTTTAAGAAACATATTAAGATCTTCCTTAATTTCAAGGAAATTTTCTTCTATTATATCTTTGAATATTTTTTCTGTTCCATTTGTTCCATTTTTCTTCAGGAACATCAATCATGGGTATGTGGAATCTCCTTTGTCAGTCTTACATGTCTGTCATCTTTTCTCTAATGATTTTTATCTTTGTGCTTTTCTATTTTGTTTTAATTTTTTTCTTGAGCTTATCCTTACGTCACAACAGTAGTGCCCTACCTTTTACTGCTTCTAATGTGATTTTTCTTCATTAGTGGTTATAGCTTATTTTCTTTTGTAGGTACTGCTAGCTCATCTGTTGTGTCATAATTTTTCAACCTCTGTGTCCCCTCAGTTCATTTGAGTGTAGAAAAGGATATATTGATAGTTAACTCTTCTGTCTCTTGCTGGTTAGGAATTTTTCTCCTTTGTGCTAGTACAGGGCAAAGGTTAATTGCCATACTATAATCATTCATTTGAATGGCTTTGGTTTCATCTGGGGTCTTGGTTGCTCGTAATGATCCGAAGCTATGGGGAATGTTATTCCTGCTTTTTTGTGTCTAGACACATTCTCACTTGACTTGGTCAGTTCTCTTCATTAGAGTATACGTTATTTCAGCCTCATCACTGAGGAAGGTCACTTGGTTCAACTATTATTTGGGGATTGGATTTAATTTTATGAATTGGTATTAGTCATTTTTCAGTTGGCTTTGTTTAAAAACTCCCTTGTACCCTTTAGGCAATGCCAGGTATTATGTTTTAAAAGCTTTTTTTTTAAAAAAAAATTGTAAATAGGTTGCCAGGCCATATGAACCTGCATAGAAGTGGCCTATAGTGGTTTAAAAATTTTAAGGTTGCTTAGTAATATTAAAAAATTACCAGATGGTGCTTAAGAATCAAAATTTCTGGCTTTTCTTTAGAAAAACTAGACCCACACCCTCATCTTTGACTAGAATATGTTGACCCAAGTAGCTATTTCCCCTTTAGGTTAATATACACTGTTTAACTATAGTGCCTAGAATTAGCCAATCACTTGAGGGCTAGATTCATATGCCAAGATTCTCCTTCCTTACAGCCAGTAATATCAGCTGGGCTAAATGAGTAATGGGGAATTGTGACTGAGCAGATAATGTAAGTATTCTCACTGATCACTCACGTTTAAGTTGGGAATCTTCTTCAGAGGAAATTGCTGTTGAAATGACCTTTTGTAAAGTGAACTTATTTTATGCTATGAATTATTAAAGAGATAACATGATTAATAAAAAGTTAGAAATTATTATCACATTTAATGTTTTAATTTTGATTCCCTTCTTAATATATTGACAACAAAGATGTAAACTATTCTTTTATAGTAGTATATGTATTGAAGTAGTACTAGCAAACATTATAGAAAACACTTGTGGGGGTTGGAGAGTATAGCTCAGTGACACACCCTTTGCCTAGGGTGCCTGGGGACCCAGCTGTGATCCCTACCACCACCAGAAATAAAACCAAAACCACAAACAAAAAGCTTGTTGTATATAGATCCTAAAATGCCTTTAGGGATTAAGGATATAAAATAAATGACATGGGCTGGGAAGGTAGCTCAGTGGAAGAGCACTTGCCTTGCATGCCTGAGGCCCTGGGTTCGGTTCCTCAGCACCTCATAAGCAAAAAGAAAAAAGCCAGAAGTGGCACTGTGGCTCAAGTGGTAGAATGCTAGCCTTGAGCTGGAGAGCTGAGGGACAGCGCCTAGGCCCAGAGTTCAGGCCCCACGACCGGACCCAAAATAAAAAATAAATAAAATAAAATAAATGACATAAAGACATAGATATAAATAAATAACATAAAGACATAGTTTTTACCGTCATGAAACTTAGCAGTCCAGTGTAAGTGTGTTTCATTATATAAAGAATTCAGTGACTAATGTAGGTACTAGGTAGAGATTGTTTAAAGATTCCTGAAGTTGGATTTTAGCATACATTGAGCAAAAGGTAGAGTCTACATTGCTTGAATGGATGTTGAGGAGACATACACAAATAAGTGTGGTATACATCACAAATAAAATAAAATTAAATTAAAAAAAAAGTGTGGTATACAAAAGAATCTGTATCTTGAAGAAACTGTAAGTTTGTAGTTTGTCAATGGAGAACCAGCAGCTAACTATGAATGGAAAGCAGGGTAATAGAAGAGCTTAGCTGGAGGAGGGCTGGGCATTGGCAATGGAACTGTTAAAGGCACTTGAGAAAACAGGTATGTGTATGTATAGTCTATTTAAGATTTCTTTTTAATTCACAAATGAAAGCTAAAACAAAACATTCACTTATTTTCTTATAGAGAATGGTTTTTCTTGCTTTCACATGAAGTTTTGAACCCAATGTATTGCTTATTTGAATATGCGGGCAAAAACAACTATTGTCTACAGATAAATCCAGCATCAACCATAAATCCAGACCATCTTTCGTATTTCTGTTTCATTGGTCGCTTTATTGCAATGGTGAGTTACCAACTTTTAGTTATTTATTTAAATGTTGCTTATCTCAAAAGCATCTTATGAGGACATTAATAAGCGAAACTAAGCACTATATTAGTTATTCACTTGTTTGTTTCTTGAGATATTGTCTTGCTGTGTATTTCAGGCTAGCCTTGAACTTACGATCCTCCTGCCTCCCAAGTGCTGAGATTATGGTTGTGCTACTACACTTGTCATTCATATATTTTATACCAAGAATATTTACTTTGTAAGAGAATATCATAATGCAGTTTATTAATATGGGGAGCTAATTAATAGTCATTTTAAAGTAAGGCTTAATTATATATGATTTTTTTAATAAAAGGAAGGAAAATCTGAGTTATCTGTTAAGTGATTTGATGTTTTTGGCAGACGTCCTGTGGAATTACTGTCTTTTGAGAATATATGCATTTTTTGAATGGATTATCCATTAATTTATTAACAGGTTATTTATTGCAAGCCTGCTATAATACCATGCTTTGTTCTAGGCACTGGAAATCAGGAAAATATACAGTTCCTACTCCTATGGATCTACATTTTATGAGAGGGAGCAAAATAATAAATATGTGCTCAGGAAAAGGGAGTATTGCTTTTTTATATACTATAGTTACAGGAAAGCTCTAAAGATTGACAAATGAACAGAAATAGGAAGAACACAAGGGATTAATTTATGAAGCTATCTTGGAGAAGAACATTTGAGGCAGAAGCAATAGCAAGACAAAGTCCCCAAGACAGAGGTGATTTTTGGTAAAGAAAGAGACCCATGACTGGAACAGAGCATATGGAGGAAAGTGTGGTAGGAAATGAGACCTAAATTCTGTGTAGGACTTACAGAAATTCACATAAAGGTTTTGAGCAGAACAGTTAGCATGATTTAAGTAGCATGATTTAAATTAAATTCTATTGTTTGCTGTCATATAGAAAAGACTGCAATAATTGGTAGGTAGCAAAGGAAAGCAAGGAAGATTATTTGTAACAATCTTGGCAGTGAGAGACTGAGAGGTGGCTTAGATTCTGGATATATAACTCCTCTTAAGATGGTAATACAAAACTTTTTCATAATAAATTCATAAATGTAGGTGCTTTAGTGAGGCGTCAGCTGTGTTGACCACAATATTACCAGGCCTGAATTTTGGATATATTATGAAGTTAGAACTTAAAGGAATTTTCTGACCTATTAGATGCAAACAAAGTATGGTACCAACATTTATGGCTTGTACATAATGTTGCAGTTGCCATTTCCCACAGTGGTCAGGGTTGCAGCAAGACTTGGCTTGCTAAGGTTGGGATATGTGTAGATAACCACGTGAGAAATATAAAATAGGTCGTTAGATATTTAAATTGAGAAGAATGAGAACTTTTCTAGGTTAGAGAAAGACATTTGGCATTCGGGGCTTTTAATTCTCCATGAGCAGAGTGCTAAAAGTCTTTAGGATTATTTTAAGAAGTAAATTTGGGCAGAATGTCTGGAGACATCTGTAAGTTAATGAAATGAGAAGGAATCAGCAAAAAGACCTGAGGTAAGAAAATAGAATAAGAGTTGTTCCTAGAAGACAAAGGAAAGGAAATTTCTCAAAATCAAATGTTATTTAAAGGCTGAGGAAATGAAGCCAGAGTTGACTGGTTTGTCAAGGTGATAGGTATTCATGAGTAGTAGGTAGAAAGATTGATTAGAGGAGAAATGAGAGAATGGAAGTAGTGATAGCAAACATAAGCAAGTCTTTTAATGAGTTTGCTGTAAAGGAGCATAGAACAGCAACTAGATAGAAATGGATATAGAATTAAGGGGGAGAAGAATAAAACACATTACAGTTGCCATTGGCTCATGTGTGTAATCCTAGCTACTCAGTTATCTCAGCCTTGAGATCTGAGGATCATGTTTTGAAGCCAGCCCGGGCAGGAAAGTCCCTAAGACTCTTACCTCTGACTAACTTCCAGAAAAGCTTGAAGTTATTTCCTGTATTTTGTTTTTTTCCTCTTCCTATGTCTACTAAATTGATCTTTAGTGATTTTTGTCTGATGTGTTCCTTTGATTTTGATTGTTTTCTTCCAATTGTGCTCCCCCCTTTAGAATTCTTCGTAATGCTGGTTTAGTGATCATGAATTCCTTAAATGTTTGTCAGGGAAGGTTTTGGTTTCACCATCTAATGTGAGTGATAGTTTTGCTGGGTAGATGTTTGGGTTGGCAGTTTATCTTCAGTGCTTGGATTATACTATTTGAGGCTCTCCTTGTGTTGAAACATCTTACATAGACACATCTCTCTATAATAATCCTAAACATTAATGGACTCAGTTCTGTAATCAAAAAAAGAATATCAGATTGGATTAAAAAAATAAGATCTATCCATTGTTTGCAATCTGTTATGCAATTTGTAATTTGGGTTATGTTTTAATTGATTAAAGCACTAATTATGATATATGTCTTAAATTTATTACCTATGTCACATTTATTGGATAAATAAAAGATATTAATTTCTGATCTTAGATAAAATTCAGATAGAGACATCTGCACAAAATAACATACCTTTACATATAAAGAACAATCAAGAACATCGGGGCTGGAATGTGGCTTACTGGTAGAGTCCTTGCCTAGCATTCATGAAGCCCTGGGTTCGATTGTTCAATACCACATAAACGGGAAAAGCCAGAAGTAGCGCTGTGGCTCAAGTGGCAGGATTGGCAAAAAAAAACTCCAAAACAAAACCACATCATAAAGGCCGTCAAGCTAACTTATAATAGAAAATAGCCCTATTGTAATAGAAGAAGGTAGAGGAGGAGGAGGAGGAAGAGGAGGAGAAGAGGAAGAGGAAGAAGAGAAGCAGCTGCAGCAGCACACTCCCAAGCATAGGGGACCATTACCCCACAAAAAAAGTTGGAGGTAAAGCTGTGGTTCAAGTGGTTAGAGCGCTAGCCTTGAGCACAGAAGCTTAGAGATAGCACCTAGACTCTTAAGTTCAAGCCCCAAGACCAGTGCATGCACACACGCACACGCACACACACTCAATTTGTATTTGCTGATAGTGATGAACAAGTAAGAGAATAAATGAGGCCAGTAAAACAAGGAATGTGGGAGTAATGATCTATGTGAAAGAGTAAATGATTCATTTGTTGTACATAGAAGATAATTCAAAGTTTTTTATAATAAATTTCATAAATGTAGGTGATTTAGTGAGAGTTGTTGGAAACATTACAGAAGTTCTCTCCCAGTTGTTGTTTCCTCAGTGAAATATGAAGTGAGATCAACTCAGGAATGAAAACTGGAGAGAATTATTAAGCAAAAAGTGATAGGAAGGAAATAGTCATAAGAGTGGGGAAATATTATCTGGCAAAACTAAGCTTTAGCATTTAGGTTATAGGTGATAAACAAATTAGCTTGCTATAGGGAAAGGTTTAAACGGGTATCTAAGGGAGTGATTTTAATGATCGATGATGGAATCTAAATTGAGGTAGGGAAGACTCATTTCATGAGGGCGTAGAGAGACAGTAATGAAGTACTAGTGTCTGTAGGTTTTTTAAAATCCCCCAGGGTCAAAAATTTCTGAGAGACTGTGGTGGTTTCTTTTCTTGACCATGATTACTATTAATAGAGGCTCAGTGTTCCTGAAAATAACAAAGGAATAAGAGAGGGTTCTTTCTATCTGAACAGAGCTCTTTTTCATTTCTGAATCCAATTAGGTTAATTCGCAAAACATAAGAATATTTTACTACCTGCTTCTCCTACTTTTTCTAAGTCTTTTATCATCCTAATACTTAATATATTTGTTATGATTTCTACCATTTACTTCCTGTTTTTCTGTCTGAGACAGCTTCATGATTTGTTATTACTGTACTATAAGAAATTATTACTTTGTAATTTTTGTTATTTAAAAACAAATGTATGTAACTTTTTTTGCTTTTCTTTGCAGGCACTATTTCATGGGAAGTTTATTGATACTGGTTTTTCTTTACCATTCTACAAGCGTATGCTAAGTAAAAAACTTACTATTAAGGATCTGGAGTCTATTGATACTGAATTTTATAACTCTCTTATCTGGATAAGGTTTGAAGATTTATTTTTTTCAGTAATGCATTTTCTTAAAATCCATTTATTCATTTTGTCAATTAGAATGTATGTATCGTATATCTCTTTATGTATGGATATATGTATTATTTATTTTATCTAGGGATAACAACATAGAAGAATGTGGCTTAGAAATGTACTTTTCTGTTGACATGGAGATTTTAGGAAAAGTCACTTCACATGACCTGAAGTTGGGAGGTTCCAATATTCTGGTGACTGAGGAAAACAAAGATGAATATATTGGGTAAGCTAATAGACTAGCTTTTTTACACGTTAAAACTTAATCCTCAATCTGTACTCCTAATTTTATTATTGCAAATAAACTTGGGAAAATACCAGTGTTCTTGAAATAAGAAAGTACATAACAGCTTTCACTTTCTCACTGCCATTTGCTGCAAACATTCTGCTGTGACCAGGTAAAGAATCATTGAATATTGATATTGTAAAGGGGCTGTGCAGACCTTCTTGTTTAGATGAAAGCAGAGCCTTACTCTGGTAGTTTGGAGCAACGCATTGGTTTTTGTTTTTTAAGATGGGGGTCCAGATGGGCCTCTGTGCTATAGTTTGCTCACTTGAAAGTTCTGATTTTTTCTACCTATAGTCTCTTCTGACCCCTTTCTATTTGTATTACTACCATTCTCACTCTCATCTTCACTGGACTCTGGCTTTCATTTTTGTTTCTTCCTGTCAGGTTCTTGTATTTTTTGTTTTTATTTTTAAAATAGGATCATATCATTAATGTTACTCTAGCTAGTCTTTTCTATCTTTCAGGTCAGTAAATAGATACCCCTCATTTTCTAATACCTACATAAATTACAGTATATTGACTTCAATACTGTTCAGTCATTTCTGATACTAGGAGTCATTCAGATAGTGCCCAGTTTGGATCAGTACGAGCAAGACAGCAGAAAACCTCCGTAAGCATGAATCCATATGTATCTGGAATAGATCTCCAGAAATGAGGTTATTGGGTTAAAAATACTTACGAGACATTTATGTTGTCACTTTCTTGGAAGGTTATAGTAATCCTTTCTTCTTGTCTTAATTAAATTAAATGTATACTTCTTAGCATTTGAGGCCTCTTGTTCCCTGCTTTTTTGCTAAAAAGAAATTACCAATCACTGATTTTTTCTTTCTACATCTTTGTATATTCTGAGGTATTTTTGGTTTGCTTTGTTGTGCATGAGTACTGGAAATTACAATATATTTATATTTTGAAGAACATACATTCATGAAGAGAGTATATAGTGTAAACCTAAGCCTTTTACAAAGTCTTAGTAGTAACAAATAAATAAGAACGACATGCCTTTAAGAAAAATAAGAAAAGGTTTATCACATCAGATTTATCACATTTATGTAGCTGTACTTTGAACTTTTTCTGTTTTGCATTAATTATACCTTAAAATTTTATCTGTATAGTACCTACTATAAAGAGTTGATAATCTAATCCTGAATACAGTTCTTGGAGGATTCTGTCTCAATCCCAAGTAAAGCAGGCATAAATTTTATTTTTTTAAACTTTTTTTTAAACTTTTAAAAACTGTGATATTACCCTTCTCTTAGCTGATACCTTTAATGAACAAAATAGTTCCTCAAAAAATAGGAGTAAATGAATGGTAGAAATATGAAGTATTGTCAGCATGCAGTGTGAGAAAGGAACTATCAGTTCTGCTGAGTGAAGGCAGGAAATCTCTTCATAGGATTTAAAACACCTGTGAGAAAGTGAGGCTGTAGTAGCTCACCACTATAATCTTTTTTTTGGGGGGGGGAGGGGGTGCAATCGTGGGACCTGAACTCTGGGCCTGGGCGCTGTACCTCAGCTCTTCAGCTCAAGGCTAGCGCTCTACCACTTGAGCCACAGCGCCACTTCCGGTTTTTTTTCTTTTTGCTTATATGGTGCTGAGGAATCGAACCCAGGGCCTCAGGCATGCAAGGCAAAAGTGCTCTACCACTGAGCCTCCTTCCCAGCCCTCAACCCCTATAATCTTAGCCTCTCAGGAGGCTACGATCTGAGAATTGCCCTTTAAAGCCAGCTGGGACAGGAAAGTTTGAAACTTGTCTTTAGTTAACTACCCAGAAGTAGAGCTGTGGCTTAAGTGGTAGAGCACTAACCTGGAGCACATGTTAGGGACAGTGTCCAGGGCCTGAGTTCAAGCATCCAAGACCAGCACACACACAAAAACACAACATCTGTGAGAATGATGAAGATTTTCTGGGGAGGTGGAAAATAACAAGAACATAGGAAATAAAGGGGATTAGTTTAATTTGTGAATCTACAACTTCAGTGTTTAGGAATGTAAGAGAGTGAGAGCTGGGCTCACGTCTGTAATAATAGCTACTTAAGAGGTTGAGATCTGAGGATGATGGTTCAAAGCCAGCCTGGGCAGGAAAGTTCCTGTGAGACTCATATCTCCAATTAACTATTCAGAAACAGCAAGTGGTTGTGACTCAAGTGGTAGAGCGCTAGCTTTGAGCACAGAGAGGCAAAGAGGCCCAGGGACAACACCTAGGCCCTGAGTTCAAGCCCCACAATTGACAAAAAAGAGGGTGAGAAATAGTGCCTAGACGGGAGCTTAGAATTATACCAGATTTTAATTTACTGTAAGAAAATTGTCATTCTAAAACATCTCAATTTTTATTCTGAATAATAATCATAAACTGAGATAGCACCACCAGAATTATTTGGAGAATGACAGGGCATGTTGAGGATAAACTGGGAGACAGTTAACAAAGGTGGTAGTTAGAGATCAGAATACTAGAGGTCGTTTTAGTAATCTAGTAATGAGACTTGAAATACAACCAGCTATAGAACTTTAAAAAATGACAGAATGGCCAGGCGCTGGCGGCTCACGCCTATAATGCTAGCTACTCAGGAGGCTGAGATCGGAGGATTGCGGTTCAAAGCCAGCTGGGGCAAGAAAGTCCATGAGATCTGATCTCCAATTAACCACCAGAAAACCGGAAGTGGCTCTGTGGCTCAAGTGGTAGAACCGGTAGCCTTGAGCTGAATAGCTGAGGGACAGCGCCCAGGCCCAGAGTTCAAGTCCCATGACCAACCAAAAAACAAAAAAATGATAATGGTTTTTTTTGGGTCCGGTCGTGGGGCCGAACTCTGGGCCTGGGCGCTGTCCCTCAGCTCTTCAGCTCAAGGCTAGCGCTCTATCACTTGAGCCACAGCCCACTTCCGGCTTTTTTCTTTTTGCTTATGTGGTGCTGAGGAATCGAACCCAGGGCCTCAGGCATGCAAGGCAAGCACTCTACCACTGAGCCACCTTCCCAGCCCCATGATAATGGTTTTCTGAGGATGTAATCGAAATAGAGTGGCACAGTGTCCACATTGATTAATTTGAAGTTACCAAAGTTCAGAATTGGAATGAACACTCCTGGAAGGTACTGCATACAAAAGTTGGGAACATTAATGTTTGTTATAGGAGATCTAGATAGAATGATTGCTCAGAATATTTGACAATTAGGTCTTTTGTAACATTTGGGTTAACAGCATTTTGGGATCTTAGAAAAAATATTGGAATCCAAACTGCCATGGTTTATTTATTAAATTTGGGATGGGTAGGAAGTGAGAAAGTTGATATAAAGAATCTGTTCCCTCTTAGAAGTACAGTAATAAAGAGAGGAAAGAGAATAGTTTAAAAGACTTCCTTGGTTGAAGGAACAAACACATTTGGATTTTGTTTTTGCTTTTTGGTCAGTTGCGGAGCTTGAACTCATGGCCTGGGCACTGTCTCTGAGCTGCTTCTCTCCCCCCTCACACACTCCTCCCCGCCAGACTAGCACTTTACCACTTTAAGCCACAGCTCCACTTCAGTTTTCTGGTGGTTTTAACTGGAATAAGAGTCTCACAGACTTAGGCTGGCTTTGAACTGTGATCCTCAGATCTCAGCTTCCTGAGTAGTTAGGATTACATGTGTGAGTCACTGGCAAGCAGCTGAGGCAAAGGATTATTAACTGATGAAAATCAACTTCCCTTAGGACCCAAAATGAAAAGATAGAATTAGACTAGCATGAATAGATTGTTTTCTGATATTTGCTCATATTAATCTTCCTTTTTAGGCAGTTTGTGCTGTTTATCCAGAAGTTCATATAGCCAGACCCATCTTTTCAAAGGTCCTTATACTGATAGATCACTGACAGATTTTTCTTCCTTCTTTTTTGTCCTACTTCCCTATACTATGGCTATTTTAAATATTTTCAGAATATTCAATTTTTATCATAGTTGATATTTTCTTTTTGTTATGAAATCTGTTTTTCAACCAAAAAGCATGTAAAGAACCTGTTTTCTAGTTTTAATCCTTCCAAACTATGAAACTATAAAAAATAATGGACCAACGGCAGATTATCATTGCAGGTTATCAAGATAATCCCTGAGCCATTTTTCAAGTTCTTGGCAAAGGCACAAATGACCAGCCATTCTCCTATGCCAGCACACAATGTTTGGAGATGTGTTCATAGTGCTGAAATTTTGCTAGTGTACTGATAAGAAACTATTGTAAACTAACAGCAATCCCTTTTAACAGCTGTTGATACTTAGAACTGATTTCACATAAAATCATACTATTTCTATATATACATATATGCATGCATGCATAATACATATGTGTGTTGTACCTATTTACATATGTATATACATGAATGCATGTATACAGGTATGCTGTATATGTATGTGTGGTATATTGAGAACAAGAGAAGGCATTTAAGAAATTCTTGATGCTTTTAATCCTTTAACTTCACATACAGATGACCTGTTTTCAAATACCATCTTTGTTTTCAGTTTAATGACAGAATGGCGTTTTTCTCGAGGAGTACAAGAACAGACCAAAGCTTTCCTTGATGGTTTTAATGAAGTTGTTCCCCTTCAGTGGCTACAATACTTCGATGAAAAAGAATTGGAGGTTAGACTCTTTTATTATGCTCTTGTAGAAAACATGTTAATGGTGCAAGAAGCTGTTTTGGTGCCTCCTATTCCCCTCCCCTCCCCTCTCCTCCCTTCTCCTCTTCCCCCCCCTCCCCTTCCCTGCCCTCCCTTCCCCTTTGTCCTTCCTTCCTCCATCCCTCCCCTTCCTTTCCTTTCCCAACACAGGGTTTCTCTGTGTAAACCAAGCTAACGCCCAGCTCATAGTCTTCCTGCCACTACCTTTGTATGCTGGGAACATAGGCCAGGCCAACATGGCTGGCTTGTTTTGGAGCTTTTATAGAACAATTTCCACATATTTTAAAAATGTATAACACAATCTTCAAATATTGTCTAAATCTTTAGGTGGCATTAATTCTAGCATTTGTTAAGTGTCTTGATTATATTCTCTAAAATACAATGTATCATGAGTACAAAATCATCAATCAATGTCACCTACTAACAGTTATAAGGAATGATTTCAATATTATTAATAACTTGAGGACATTTCTGAAATTTTAGTTCAGTACTATTCAAAGATTAGAATTTTAAGTAATGAATTCTTAGTGCTCTTAACTGTATGTTGGTTTTTTAGAAGTAGATCAGAAATTCTTTTTGTTTGTATATATGTGATAGAATACAGATAAAATTTATCATCTTAGTAATGATAAGTATAATTTTTAGTAATACTAAGTATAATTATATCATCTCCAGGATTCCTTCATATTGTAAAAGTAAAACCCTTATACGTATATACCCCCTCAGGCCTGGCCACTATTCTAAAGATCTATACTTTAAATGAAATCTTGCAGTATTTGTCTTTCTATGATTATTGATGTCACTCAGCATGAAATGTTGTCCATTCTCTACCATGTGTCAGAATAATATTCCCATTATATATTTTAAATGAGAAAAAATTTTAACCAAATATACACAAGACCTCTATACTAAAAATATTGTTCAGAAAAGAAGGCCTTATAAATGGAATGATATATCTGTCTTATTTTCAAATTCCAAACAGAATTATTTTTGTAAAAAATTATAGGTTGATTTTAACATTATAGACTGATTTCTAAAATGACAATAAAGTATAGAGGCTATAGAATAGCCAAAATATTTGAAAAAGGATACTCTTGTAGAATTTATAGACTGGTTTTTAAGACTTATCTATAAAACCAAAGTAACTAAGATTGTGTGGAAGCCAGGTGCTGGTGGCTCAAATTGGTAGAGCACTAGCCTTGAGCAAAAGAGCTCAGAGATAGCACCCAGATCCTGAGTGCAAGCTCATGACCACTAGCACCACCAACAACCAAAAAAAGTAGATAGTGGTATTTGTGAAAGGATGAACAGACTGCTCAATGTCATCTAAAAAATACAGAAATACACCCACACATTTATTGTCGATTTATGTTCAACAAAAGTGCAAGTATTTCAATGAGAAAATGCATAAACCTTTTCAATAAATAATGTTGGATCAACTGGATATCAATATGGGAGAAAATTAACATTGACACTTCCCTCAGTCCATAAACAAAGATTCATTTTAAATTATAAGTACAAAGCATGGAGAAACTTTTGTAAAAGAAAATTACAGATGAATTTTGACCTTACCAAATCTAAAAACTTATCTTCAAAAGACACTATGAAAATGAAAGGCATCCTATAAATTGTGAGACAAAGGAATCATATTTAGAATATATTATTTAAACTCATAACTCCATGTAATGGGTGAAAATTCACTTCACAAGACAAGATATAAATTTTAGACAGTTCTACATACCGTAAGTCCTGCCTGTGAAGGAAACTGAGACCGAGGAGGAGGATGTGAGCCTCGGGTGTTTGAGCTGGCATAGGGAACCTAGGGAGACCCATCTCAAAACAAGTGTAAACATTAGCATACGCACACACAGATGGCAAGGGAACACACTGACAGATGCTCAGGAGTTACTGGGAAATGGAATGAAAAGTAAATGAAATACCACATTGGCTGGTAGTTTTATCTATCATAGATAGATAGGACTCAATCCATTTCCAACTCTAAAATACTTGGAATATCACTACCTAATGCTGATAGTTTCCTATATTGTTAAATGTATGTCGACCTATGTTCTCACAGATCATTATTAGGTATTTAATAAAGTGAAATGAAATATATATTTGCACAAATACTTGTATTTCAATGTTTATTGCATTGTGACTTATTACATCCCAAAGATGAAAGTGACTCAACTGTCCATCAACAAGTGAATGTTTATATAGTCATATAATGGAATACTAATCAGTGATATGTACCCACAACATGGGTGGACTTCAGAAATATGTGTGAGTGGTTATGGGCACTGAAGGGGACTAGAATGTGTGTGTGATATGGTACATGACAGAAACATGTATATATGCATATGATACCCTAAAAAAGGCATGGTGAACTTCTTGATCACATGGTGCTATAGATGGTTTGCTAGCAAAAAGGAGACACAATGGAAATATTCTTGAAGTTGTTGCACATTTTTATTCCATATATAATAACCTGAGGCTGTTTGAAAATTCCACATATGTGGAATATTTCCAGTTAAGCTAGATAAATGAATAATGAGCTTATTTTTTAAGTTTTTAAATATATCAGAGAGCATAGATTTGAAATAGAGAAGATATTTATGTTGGATAATAATTTGGATCCCTAGTTTGGGATGTCTGTAGATATGCTTTCCCTTACAGCTAGTTTCAGTTCAGTCAACATGGGTTAAAGAACAACCCAAACAATTCTTTATGCTGTGCTGTCAGAATTTGGATTTGCTTATTGTCATTCTTCCCACGCTCTTTACGATTGTGCCATGTGCATATATCCGAAAGTTTCACTGTAAGCCCTTCACTAAATCTTCGTTGTCACCTATACTGTGCTTGTCTTTCAGGTTATGTTGTGTGGCATGCAGGAGGTTGACTTAACAGATTGGCAGAGAAATACAGTTTATCGACATTATACAAGAAACAGCAAGCAAATTATTTGGTTTTGGCAGGTATTTGCTTTATCTTTTAAAACCAAGAATTCAAAGAAAATATTTTCTAATGAAATAATGGTTTAAAAGCATCTTTAAGTTATAATTTAATGACAAAAGTTTTAAACACAGCATTTCTTGGTACCAACTGAATTCTATACATTCTAACTATTTCTAGAAATAAATTAGAAAATATGAATGTATTATTATAGGGAGAGGAAGACAGGTTTAGATAGAGTCTCATTGGAAAGCAAGCCCAGGTTAACCAACTACATCATTTTTCTGCCCAACCTTCCCAAATGCTGGGATAATGGATGATCTCTACTATGCCCAGTCAGGACTGTGTTTTTTATGAGAAAATCAACACATATTTACTCATTCTTCTGGGGTGATAATATTGTAAGGAAATGGGATAACATCCAAAAGAAGATAATGTCCAAAAATAACTTTATTTTTGTTTGTGTTTTATCTATAAGGTGGGTCTCTGGACATCCAAGTGTACCAGACTATTTTTGAAGCACATTTTAGTAGATTTCTTATGTTTTTGAGAATTTAAAATCTCTAGTCCCAGCATATTCTCTACATAAGTACTAACTACTTGAAACTCATTAGAGCAACTTAATTAATTTCTGGCTTCTGTTTATCTGTTGTTACATTTAGGTTTTGTCTTAACATTGTATCTTTTCATAAGGATAGGTGTTATGAGTATATTTTTAATATGTTTCAAAATTCTATTGCTTAATATTTTAAAAAATATTTCTAAAAATATTTTAAAATATACTTCAAAATGTGCAGAATGACATATACCAAAATATTTAGTACAATATCACTGTATGCTAACAGGCTTGGAACAACCTAAATGTCAATCAGGAAAAAACTAACTAAATAAACTAATGAAATTTATATTCTAGATAATAAAAGTAGATGCCAGTATATGAATATATCAAAAAAAAGAAATCCCTGGTAACTGTAATAAAAGGAAGTTTAGTAATTAGAGGCCAATCTAAGAAAGCTGCTTTTCACACTGCATACCCTTGTACTACCTTTAAATTCTCTCTTCTCTATTATTTATAGAGAGATAGATAGATAGATAGATAGATAGATAGATAGGAATCAATCTATTTCCAAGTCTAAAATACTTGGATTGTATTATCTATAATCTGCACAGATGTTTGTAATGTTCCTTTTTTAGCCTGTTTTATTAGCTTCATTGAATTTCATGTTTTCTTCTTCATGTTTCCTTTGTCTAGACATTGGTACCTACATAGTAAAGGATCTTAGATTGCATAAATCTAAATAGAGCATTTATATTTTCTGAATTGACTTTGTGTTAGGGAAAATGATGAGGTTTAGATTAGACCTGGTAACAAAGCTGCTTCTCTTATTCTGTTAGGATATATGCTTTATCATAATTCTATGAAACATTTTTGGTCAAGATTAGGATATTTTTTTTCTTATGCTCAGCAACTATATTTTTTGTTTTAAAGATACAGTTCTAAAAGCCCAGTGCTGGTGGCTCATGCCTGTAATCCTAGCTACTCAGGAGGCTGAGATCTGAGGATCAAGGTTCAAGCCAGCCTGGGCAGGAAAAGCTATGCTCTTATCTCCAATAAACAACCAGAAACTGGAAGTGGAGCTGTTGTTCAAGTGGTAGAGCACTAAGCCTTGAGCTGAAGAGTGGAGGGACAATGCCCAGGTCCAGAGTTCAAGCCCCATGACCAACAAAAAAAGAAAAGAGAAGTGGCGCTGTGGCACAAGTGGTAGAGCGCTCCTTGAGCTAAAGAGCGCAGGGACAGCGACCAGGCCCAGAGTTCAAGCCCCACGACCAACCAAACAAACAAAAAAGATACATTTCTACTCTCAAACTGTTCCCTAAGTTCTTTGCTTTGATTTACCTGAAACAAATGAAATCAGTATTTCAATGTATTTTCCATTTATGTCCTTTCTTAAAAACAAACAAAAAACTCCAGGCAGTAAACCAGGTAATTTCAGAGAAATTTGTCCTTATTGGAAAATGTTTATTGGAATAAGTATGAGAAACTGTTGAAAGTAGCAAAAGGAAGGTGTTCATTTGCTTTTGTAGCTTAAAAGGGAGATAGGTAACTCAAGTAACAGTGGTTAAATTAGACCTGAGTTCAAAGGCTAGTTCTGTCACTTCTTAGCGTTTGAAAAGGACCAAACTCTACAGGCCTGCATTTTTCTTCCATGGAGAAGATAATTCTATGACCATTAGCTAATAATTATATCTGTCACATAGAAGTATTGCAAGGCAGTATCTTCACAAATAAAATTAAAAAAAAAGAAGTATTGCAAGGTTTAAACAAATGAGAAGCATATGACAGTGTGTGGCTAAGGCCCTCAACAGGGGACAAATAGCCCAATATCTGCTCTGATTGCCCCTTTTAGTGAAATGAACAAGTGATGTAACCGTTAAAGCCTTTCTTTAGTGTTCTCGTTTATTTCCAGCAGCATCCAGGCATCAGGGTTAAATGGAATAATTGAGTAAGATTCATACTTACTTTGCATAGTGTCTAACCTGAATAAATGATAAATGCTGTACCCATTTTCTATCACATATCTTTTGAACAAACTTCAGTGCTAAATATTGTTTAATTTCTTTAACTGTCTATTATTTTCATTCTTGAAGAGGATTTAGCATTCATTTAAAAAATTCAAGTACATTTTTTGTGTTACACAGTTTGTGAAAGAGACAGACAATGAAGTAAGAATGCGACTATTGCAGTTTGTCACTGGAACCTGCCGATTACCTCTAGGAGGATTTGCTGAGCTCATGGGTAATTGGATTTCCACTGCAGTTTGTTGATGATTTTGTTGTATTGATAGCCTTGAGATATACCTGATAGACTTGAACTTAAGGATTATTATTGGAGATATATCTGATAGACTTGAACTTAAGGATTATTGTTGGAGCTCTATGTAAGGTTCCAGCCATAAGAAATAAACATGGTAGTTAATATCCAAGGACTTTTATGTAAGATAAAAATCACTGTTTCCTCATATAGACTAAATGGCCATGGCTTTGCTTCCTAGGGAAGGCAGTATGATTCTGAAGAAATAGCTGTCTTTCTATAGATGTAATTCTTACTGAATATCTGTAGCACTAAGCTTCTCCAAGTGGAAGCAACTCACATTGGGAACCTCTTCTTTGATTTATTCTGCATCATCATATGACTGTACAACATGTTCTGCTATGTAATGAGTTGTCAAAACCAAGAATTTAAAAGACCAGATAAATATTATTTTATTTTCCTGGTTTAGGAAGTAATGGGCCTCAAAAGTTTTGTATTGAAAAAGTTGGCAAAGACACCTGGTTACCAAGAAGCCATACATGGTAAGTTCAAGAATCCTAAATAGGAAGATGAAAGCAGTCTTTTGTAAGCTCTTCAGGAGTGGTGGCATGGCTCAAGTGTTAAGGTTTTCAGCTGAGTTAAAAAAAAAAAAGCCATGATAGCACAGATTTTGAGTTCAAGCCCCCCCCCCCCCGTAGTACTGGTTTGAACACAAACACAAAACATGTAAAATCCAGTATAACTTACCCCTTTTGAAAAGAAATTAACATAGCAGACAATAAACACCTTAAAATTACTTTTTATTAATTAGAATGTTTGAGAAGGTGTTACATTGACTCAGTAAGTATTTATAGTACCAGGTATATATAAAGCAATCCTTGTCTTGTTTGAATTTAGCATTCCCTATTAGGGCACAAATAACAAGTGGAAATAAAGTGCTATGATAGAGAACAACTAGAAGTTGTTAGGTGGTCAGGGAAATTTCTAAGAAGGGGTAATATTTAATTTGAGTGTAATAATGGCATGCTATGGGGGAAGAAATAGAGGATAAAGCATTCTTTGAGCAGAAATATTAAGTAAACAAAAACCCTGAAGTAAGAATAATTATTCAAGGAAATAAAAGATGATCAATGTTATTAGAATTTGGTGAATCAGAGCATAGGAAAAGAATTTGGAAACATAGGTAGGGGCTACATTATATATATCCTTGTTGCCTGTTTTAAGGAATTGGTGTTCTATTATAAGGAAAATTTGATGTTTTAAATAATAAATAATGAGATCCAAGAAATGTCATCTGTCAACAATGTAAAGAAGCAATTGATGTAAAAGTGAATTCAGGAAGATTAGTCACAGAAATATTCTATTACCCAAACAAGTAGTGATGGCTCAGAAATAAGTGGTTCTTTGTGGCAGTCAGAACTATTTTTATACTATCATTATCTGGCTATTATTTTGAAATTTATACTTAAGGTGCAAAAGCAATACGGGCTGAAACTTAAGGGAGGCTTTCATAGAAATCAGGGCAATGACAACAGTACACATTTGTAAGGACAAAGACAGAAGATGTATTTGTTGAAGACTGTCTTTATAAGGCAGGCAATTAAAAATTATAGTTTATTAAATTTCAAAGCTTGAAGGTATGTCTTAATATTCTATGTGAAGAAATAAGAAGTTTGCCTATGACATTTCCATGCACTGAAGAATGATTTCTTGAAGGAAAGTTCTTGGGCAGTTACTTCAGTTAAAAGGTTAAATTGACTTGCTTTTTCATGGTACACTTTTACATGAAAGAATGAAAAACTGCTTGTTCACTTGGGTATTTCACTTTCTTTTTTGATAAGCAATGAAGTAAACTTGTCACTTCAAGAAAAATAAGTGAGGGGCTGGGAAGTTGGCTCAGTGGTAGAGCGCTTGCCTTGCATGCCTGAGGCACTGGGTTCGATTCCTCAGCACCACGTAAGAAAAAAGCCGGAAGTGGCGCTGTGGCTCAAGTGGTAGAGGGCTAGCCTTGAGCTGAAGAGCTGAGGGACAGCACTCAGGCCCAGAGTTCAGGCCCCACGACTGGATCCCCCCAAAAAAAAAGAAAGAAAAAGAAGTGACATTTGTTCTGTTTATTTTTTGAGCTCTGTTTATTTTTGAGCCAGCTCAAGCTGGCCTGAGTGGATAGAAGACCCACTCACAGTACCAAAGATATCAATGAATTAACCACAAAATCCAAGCTCTCTTTGGTATTAACAACAAAATTAGTATCATACCAAAGAGAGCTTGGATTTTGTGGTTAATTCAGAATCCTTACTGTGCATAACCTTGTCAAATTTAATGTAGTTAAATCAAAGAATATCAACTTATCTGAAAAGTTAATGAGTTCATTTCCATTTTCTAGTCCATTGCCTTAACCACTCATCCTCGACTACTGGCTTCATTTCCATTTTCTAACTCCTTATCTGTCTGTGGTTTTGTAATCCTCAGGAGGCTAAGATGTGAGGATTTCTGTTTTTCATATGTTTAATCTAGATTTTCATGTAATGGTAACTCAAGAAATACAGAACATATTAAATGAATAAAATGTCTTCTATTAATCCACATATTAAAAAGATTTGCAAAAGAACAAAACAAATGCATTTCACTAGTTTTTGAAAATAGCTATTTTTTTCATGCTTATGTCAACATTAGTTTGTGTTTGTTTTGCCAGTCTTGGGCCTTGAACTCTGGGCCTTGGTGCTTGCCCTTTGCTTTTTTTCTTGAGCAAATAGAAAGACAATCTACTTGATTGCAAAACTTTTACCCCAGAAATTGTTAATGTGTAAATTTTAAGAAGCCAGAATTTATTTGGAATTTAAATTTTGATTAGTTTCAAAGACAAGATTTAAAACTATTTGCAGTTATTATAATGATAAACTGTGATCTCAAAAGTAATGATGATGGTCAATAGATAAAGAAAAGATGAGGACTGCATAGAATGGTGAAAGAGTAATGAGTTAATAGGCTGGCATTTTCAGTGAAGTAAACAGTAGTCATAAATTAGGAATGTCCTTATGGTAGCAAGAAGCTTAAAGTTATAATCCTGGGGTATATAACTGAAGATAGTAGAGGAACTGGATCAGTGAAAAGAGAAGACAAATAATTGAGGACTATGAGCCACCAAAACTTACAGTGGATAAAGGAAGACCACAGTCAGCAGATTATAGGAAACTGCACACTGAAAACAGTAAAATAAGTAAATAAATTAAAAAATCAGGAATTAGCAAGATCTGAGTTGGAGCACAGGGTTTGGGATTTTTGTGTGTGTGTTTGCCCATCCTGGGGCTTGAATTCAGAGCATAAATGCTTTCCTTGAGCTTCTTTTGCTCAAGACTGTTGCTCTTACTACTTAAGCCAAAGTTCCTTGTCCAGCTTTTTTCTGGTTAATTGGAGAAAAGTGTCTCAGGTGCTTTTCTGCCCAGGCTGGTTTGAAACCACAGTCCTCAGATTTTAGCCTCATGAGTGGCTAGGATTACAGATATGAGCCAACAGCACCTAGCTGGGATTTAATTTTTAACAGTAACTAAGCTAAGCAATTAGCATTGTTGTTGCTATCATCTTTAATGCAGTGCTTTACTTAGTACGGCAGCAGCTTTAAGCTTTTCTGAAGCTATGTACAGTTGGTGAGCTGAAAGCATATTGTTCCTTATACTACTTGGGAAATATATAGGCCAGTCTTGTCTCTGTTTTTTAATAAGAAAGCTGAAGTAGAAAATTTGATTTTGTGCCTTTGAAACACATCCACTTGAAAGCTAGGGTGAAAACTTAAAACTTTGATGTTAACATAGTAAGAATCCTTTTATAAAACAGTACAATATACAATGGCTAATATTTTGGGTATTTTCAAAAAATCAACTTTTTTGTTCTCTGTCTCAATACCTGACAGTGTTAACAAGTGCACAAATGTGGATTTTAATATCTAGTGGGAAAACCAATCAGTCATAATACAAAGTGAATGTCAAAGAAGAAATAAAAGCTAGGTTGGGATGGGGGTGTGGTTCAAGTGCATATGACCAGCAAACATAAGGGCCTCAAGTTCAAAACTACACCACCAAAAAAAAGAAGTATAGATAGGTGACTTATTAATTCTCCTTATGATCCTCTTAGAAGATATTGTAGCATTTGCTCTGAAGAATAAGACTTCGACAGGCAGAAAAGGATATTTCAGACCAGACAGAGCTGAGAGCATGGTAACAGAAAATTATGCTAGAACAAGATTAGGAGATAAGAGGCAGTTCTAAAGAGCATCAGCCAAAATCTTGTACATCCACAGTTAGAAGCAGCAATGGAGAGGGTACAACTACTATGTCTTTTAGCAAGCCAAGCTTCTTTGGGCAATGTTAGGTATAAAAGCATAAAAGTTGTCTTGGTATAATACTGTATTGAAAGTGAAATTGTTTTCCGAATCTCCATCACTGTGAGACCCTTCCTGAGGCATCTGTTTTTGAAGCATATAAAGTGAAAGGTAGTAAATGTTCTAATTGCTACCATTATTATATTTAACTTCTATAAAATACAAACAGTATGGTTCAACCATACCAGTTTTAATCTGCTATTTCTAGAGATTTCATTTTCAACTTTCCCGATTCATAAATGGGAGCTGGCAAGGAAGTTTCCACCTGAGGAAATGAAGTCATAGGAACATTCTGCCTATGCTTACTTATTTTATGAAGCCACAAATAGGGTGGGGGAAACATGCCTTGGATACTGGAATTCTAATACAGCCGGTTGGTACTGTATTTTAGGAAGTTTTAGGTACTTTTTTTTTTGTAAATTGAAAAGTAGTGTATTTTTAGTTGTTTGATTTTGTTGTCATCAGTTGTAGGACTTGAACTTAGACCTGGGTGCTGTCCTTGAGCTCTTTTTGATCAAGCCAGCACTACCACTTTGAGCCACAGCTCCACTTTCATTTTTTGTTTTTTTTTTTTAAGTGAATAATTAGAATAATTGGAGATAAGAGTCTAAGTGAATTTTTCTGCCTGGGCTGGCTTAGAACTGTGATCCTCAGATCTCAGTCTTCTGAGGACCCAGGATTACAGGTGTGAGCTAGTGGTGTCTGCCTCTTTTTTTTTTTTTTAAATCATTTAATCCCAGAAAGGAATTAATGCTGACAGGACTGAAAAATTCAGTTTATAAGAATTTATAATCTTACATGGTTAGATTATTGAATTGACAATAAAAAGAATATTTCTTCATTTACTGTCTGCATTCTAGAAATTCTGTAAATTTTCATCTTCTAATCTCCTTAAACACCAGCTAGAAGAACCATATCTTGCACATAAATGTTTTCAGTTACTCTTTCTAATGACTGAAAGAAAAATGGACTCTTAGCCCAAAAGAAGTTAGGGCGACTCATGACACAGACATAATAAAACTGGTGCTTAAAGGAAAGATTCCAGTCTACCCATATTATTATATTCTGTCAAACATTATTTTTATGTATTCTTATGTTTGAATAAGTTCATCTTAGAAATGTGGGTGTTATATAATAATAAAATTATAATTGTAAATTTTACATATATAGCCTACTCCATTCAGCTTTTCAATGTGCTTTAAAGAATGCTGTATTTAAATACTGTATTATAAATCTCTTCAGTTTTATTGAAAACACCTCATTTTGTTTTTGTTTTTGTTCAGTTTTAATCGCTTGGATCTACCACCATATAAGAGTTATGAACAACTAAAGGAAAAACTTCTTTTTGCAATAGAAGAGACAGAGGGATTTGGACAAGAATGAATGTGGCTTCTTGTCTTGGAGGAGCTCTTGCATTTAAATACCCAGCCAAGAAAAATTGCACAGATAGTGTATATAAGCTGTTCATTCTGTACAGTGAATTTTCTGAACCTCTCAAAGTATAAATGTTTTCCATTCTTCCACAGAAATATGTAAAACAGTTCATCGTTTTCTACTTTATTTATTTTTCCCTTGAAATGACTGACCAGGAAAAAAAATCATCCTTAAATTTTGAAGCAAGACTTTATTAAAAATAAGTATATATCTATATAAACATATATGATTGTGGCTCTAGTTTTATAGAGCTCCAAGTATTAAACATGCCAGCTGTTCCTTCATAAAGGTATGATTTGCTTTACCTTTTCTGTTGTCCGGGGAGAAGTGCAAATTGTCCCATGGTCATCTCTCTTAGGTAATCATTCCTAAGGGTATTTAGTTGCATGGCTGTTCAGGAAGGTATTAAGGGCTTATGCCAAATCTTACCTGACTATATTAAAAATGCTGCTGGCTTTTATGAAGACAGGTGCTTGAACCTGTCCATTTGTTTTAAATGAATATTTGAAAAACTCCCTCTTTGCTCTATCAGTAATAACAGTTAAAGTAATGAATGAAATCTTAACTTACATGGAGCTCATGTACTCAATCCAATAACTGTTAAGAGATTGGGAAGAACTCATTGAGCAATGTAGAGATGTGTTTACATGTTTCTTTGGGATGTTAGGTATTTATGGAATTTTAAAGAATCAGGCATTTCTGTACTTGTTTTTTTTTTCAATGTGATGTTCTTCAGATCTACTAGTAATAAATTGATAGTTTGATATTTAGGAACATAAAAATGGTAATGTGGACTCTGCCACTTTTGTTTGTGTCCAAGCTTTGGCATTATAAAAACAGATAGATTGAATAAAAACAGATGAGTTGAAAAGTTGCATAAACATTTAAACAGACTAAGGACTTTCTATTACTGTTTGAATAGCCTAGTTGTTATCAGACTTATGAAAATTCTGTTCAGTTAAATGAGCATATAAAAAATCTATTTCTTCTATTCCCAATTTTCTAATTAAGTTAATTTTGTCCAAATAACATTTTTCATGATAAGAGTATTTGGTAAACTGTAAGATACAAATAAAATCTGAGGTGACTGATAATGCTGGTTTTAGCACAGTGGGTTTCCCAATTATATATAAAATTACAGTTTCATTTGTATCATGCTTCCAGTATATACTATAAATTTCATTGACTTAAATTTTTTTAATAAGAACTGATTTCTTAGAATGTTACCTGTAAATACTGCACTGCGTGCATACAGAACATACCAGTATACAACTTAATTTCTAAACACTAGTTTTTGTTTTGCCAAAATTTTATTTTTCTACACATTTTAGATTGCCCTGCATTTTTATTCACAATTCATAGTAAAGATGAAATAAAGACAGTGATCCATTTAGTTGAGTAGAATCCTTTCTCAGATCCTAATTACAAACTTTCTGCTTATTTTCAAGCTTAAAGAAATTGTTTTCTAACATTTAACAGGTTATTCAATAGTCTTCAAAGGACTGCTTAAAGTTTGTTCATAAGACAGAAAGCGCCTTGCTATATGAATTTACCTATCACGGAAGTCATTGTATGTCATCTGGTGGATATATGTTAGACTAATACCTTTGCAAAAAAAGAAAAAAAGTGCCTCGCAGGTAGGCATTCAGGGTATAGGCCCCTCTTGTATGAAGTTGCAGTATATCAGATAAGGCTATCAGGTGAGGCTACACAGAGCCCACCTCAGCTTTCTGCTTTCTAAAGACTACACACTTCACTATACCTTTCTACTTTTCATACCTAATTACATAAAAAGCAACCTTACAGAAAGACTGTCATTTACATAGTGACAGTCAGAAAGCCCAAGAAAAATGTAGTTCACTCCTCTCTTCCAATCCCTCCTCTGAGCTAGATAAGCAACAGATATTAGCACAAAATTCATTGTGCTTAAATACAGCTCGTGAGGAAATGCAGGACAGGGAGGCTCTCATGCGGGTTCACGTTACATTTTGCTTACATACCCACTAAAAATATTGTAAGCCTAGGGAATGTACACAGTTTCATCCATCAGATCAGTCTGTTCTCCAGGTAAAGCTACCATTGCTTTGATTTGTACTTTTGCTGAACAGTTGAAGGTAAAAATATTCACAGAACATTTTTCATAATGACTTTAAATGCCTAGAACTTCTTCACCTGAAATCTAGATTAAGATGGTGTGTTCACCTCATTGCCAGGCAACCTTGCTTCTATGTGAGGTTAAAAATGACCCTGATAAACTGCATCTGAAATTTTAATAAGTCCCCAGATCTGTAATAATTAGATCTATAATGAGGATTTTCCTTGAGTAAGAAAACTCTTACAACTGCCTGGCCCTTATGAAGACCCTGAGCTTGGTGAGATGATGTTTGTTTAGAGCACAATATGGATATTGTTTACACTGCTGGTAAGAGGCCTTCTGATAGAAAGCCCAAGGTCAACCTGCTGGCCAGTTATGGTTCCTGCCCTACTACTTTCTAAGTAAATTTGTCAAATATAGGTTGAGTCCTAATGAATATTGCAGAAGCAAAACATAATCTCTTGTTGAATTATGTGAATGAGAAAATAAAATTTTTCTTCTAACAACACTACTTTTCTTAATCTGTTGTACTTAATAGCAAAGTTTGGTCCATGTCCAAATTTGATGTCTCATGAATTGTGATGCCTCATGAATTTCTGGACCCAAATTTAGCAAATGAGTCAGATGTTAACAGTATTTTTAAGTGTACATAACAATGCTCATAGAAGTGGCGCTGTGGCTCAAGTGGTAGAGTGCTCGCCTTGAGCTGAAGAGCTGAGGGACAGTGCCCAGGCCCAGAGTTCAAGCCCCACGACCAACAACAACAACAGCTTAACAATGCTCATTATAAATCTTTTACATAAAAATGTATTCTGTCAGTTCTCACAACTCAATTACATGAGATTAGTGGGTTTTGTTTTAACCATGTTTAGTTTGGGAATGAGAGAAGGGATCTGCAAAGTCATGTTTACAGCATCCATATCTAGTTCACTATAAGCAATGACTAAAAACTTAGTGGGGAAAATTATGCCATCCAGAAGAACAAGAGTGCTGGAGTAGTAGCTCAGTGGTAGAACACATGGCTAGCATGTATGAGGACATGGGTTAAGTCCCCAGCCCTAATTGGAGAAAAAGGCAGACGTGAGAACAAGTACAATCTGTAGCATGCAAAAATAACAGCTTTTTTTTTTTTTTGCCTAGGATGCACAAGGTTCTGGGGTCAACCTTCAACACTGGGGGTGGGAGGAGGGGGGAAGGAGAGTATATACAAACTATTTTCTTACATCCTTAAAGGAAGAAAGGAGACAATCACAGTGGTACATACTTGTTGGTTGCAGCACCTGAGTGTGAGGCAGGATTGAGAGTTCGAGATTAGCTTGGACCATATATAATGTGACCCTATCTTGGGGAGGGGGTGGAGAAAAGGCAAAAACATAAGAGAGGGAAACCACTGCCTATGTCTGTGATACATACAAAATATACTACAGAGCTGGGCATCCATGGCTCACACCTGTAATCCTAGCTACTCAGGAGACAGATCTAAGGATCGCAGTTCAAAGCTAGGCCTGGCAGGAAACTCTGTGAGACTCTTTATCTCCCTCCAATAAACCACGCAGAAAAAGCTGGAAGTGGTGCTGTGACTCAAGTGGTAGAGAGCCCACCTTGAGCTTAAAAGCCTGATGACCAAAAAAAAAAAGATACTACAAGTTTGCAGTAAGTATGTGCAAAGGTATTAAGGCTGTTCAACCATTAGGTCAGGATTGCACACAAGGACAGTCAGGTAGACGGAAATTATACACGAATGAAACAGAACCAAAATGTTCGTTCTCAGGAGTGGGTCTCAACTATAAGGGAAACACCAAGAACCAATGTAAATCAGGTCACTGAGAAGTCAAAACAAAGAGGCACTTAGGAAGTACCAGATCAGAATCTTGGGAAGACATACCAAGCAATTTCACAACAATTTTAATGGAGAAAAACTACATTTGAATGGATGGTTAAATAAGTATATCCAAACAGTGGAATACTAGTCAAAAATTAGTAATAAGCTTAGATGAGTTTTCAGTAGCTGCATAGACAACCTCAAAAAGTCACATAACAATGATTCTTGAAATGACAAAATTGTAGAGAACAGATCAGTGGATGTCAGTCAAGGATGAGTAGAGTGTTAAGGAGACAGTGGTTTGCTATGACAACCCACTTAGCACTATGGACCTTTGTGGTAAACTGGTGGCAGGTATAAAAGTTTGCAAGTGATAAAATACGAACTGTGCACAAGTGAGACACATAGAAGTTAAAATATGAATTAGATCTATGGATTGTACCAGTATGTTTTCTGGTTTGGTATGTGTTCTAGCATAGTTGTTACTCTGGAGGGCAAACTGAAATAAGGGTACATACAACCTCAGTGAGAAGCTTTTGAAATTTCTTCGTGAACCTAATTATCTCAAAATAACATTTTAAGTTCTACAAAATATCAGAAGATCCTTCCATACATGGAATTTTGTATATGTGTGCAGGAAACTGAACCCAGGATCTTATGTATGCTACATATTCTCTTTACAGCTGTGATATACCCGCAGCCCCAGAGATTGTTTTTCTACTAAACCCCTAGTTGCCACCTTCTATTGATTATCTAATCTTGATGGTAACAAAAGAATTACACCCCTAAAAAATTACATTTAAGGCCGGGCGCTGGTGGCTCACGCCTGTAATCCTAGCTACTCAGGAGGCTGAGATCTGAGGATCGCGGTTCAAAGCCAGCCTGGGCAGGAGGGACCATGAGACTCCTATCTCCAATAAACCACCAGAAAACCGGAAGTGGCGCTGTAGCTCAAGTGGTAGAGCGCTCGCCTTGAGCTGAAGAGCTGAGGGACAGCGCCCAGGCCCAGAGTTCAAGCCCCACGGCCGACCAAAAAAAAAAAAAATTACATTTTAGTCACTCTTAAAAATGAGAAAAGTGGTGGCTGTACCTCTAATAGAGCACTTGTTCACATGTGCTCATGCCAGGGTTTAATCCACAGCACTTGAGAGGTAAGAATTTTAGCACAGTATGCTGGTTTGAGTTAATAAATTGCAGGTTTGAGAAAAATCCAAATTAGAAATTCAAAAACAGAATTGGACAAAGGTTTGAAATGACTGCTGTCTGAAACTGAGAAAAAAACTTAAGAAAAAGAAACATCTCAAGAATAAAGACAATTGTAATTATTACAAAGGCAGAAGACATTTGAACATTAAGAGGTACAGGAAGAAAAAACTTACAAAAGGTTACAATAAAAAGTTAAATATCTGAGAGATGAATATGAAAAGGCAAAAAAGATCTAATATATGTATCATTAACTGCAGTCCCTGAAGTAGGGTGGAACTGTTCTCAATGGTTCATCAGGCCAATATGAAATGGACAGTTGGCAAGAAACTGGACTAGCCTTTCCAAAGTACAGTTTTGCAAGAAGAAAAAAAAAATTCTACATTAAAAGCAACTAAACTGCTAAACTGTCAATTAAATGCAACATATGGTCTTTGGCCCTAGTTTTAAAAAGTATAAGACTTTATTAAAAGTATAGCTTTTAATAAGGCTTTTGATATTAGGTGATATTAGAGAATTGTCAACTTTCCATTTATGATAATGGACTTGTATTTGTTTTGGAAGCCTTTACTCTGAAGAGTTAAATATTTTAGGGTGAAATATTCTGTCTACAGTTTCAAAGATTTTAGAAAGATCTATGAATAGACAAGTATAAGTAGACTATAGCAGAAGAAACAGTTGTTGGGTATATAGAATTCACTTTGCCTTAATGTTTAAAGATTCACATGATAAACAGGGCATTTCTAAACCATTTGCCTTATTTCACTATTACAATTCTCAAATCCTTTGTTACACTTTCAAGGATTATCTAAGAGGCATTCAAAATTTCCACTTTGCAAAAACTTGAGATTTTCAGTTGTGGCAAACTCAAGTTAAATCATGGTTCTACCTAATTAAACCAAGTTAATTTCAATTTAATCCTAAATTCTGAGTTCCTTTCATCTGGTAAGGATATAGAATTCTGGCTTTCTCTACTGTCAAATTTGTGAGACTATACATTTTAAGGAAAAACTACTCAGCTTCAGAGGTTGAATTCTACCCTTATGCTGGTTGACTCCAAAATGACTTGCTTAACTAATTTAAACCAAGAACCCCACCAATGTCCTAACACTTCCCCTGTACCTTCTCTAAGATCTCAACTATGAATCAAATTCAACTTGAAAACCCACTCTGCTGCACAAAGCTTTTCTTTCATGATGTCCTATATCTTCATATGGAATCTATAAATATTTTATATGTTTGTCTCACAGGCAAAATAATCTGTCTAAGCCATGAAATTTACTGCAACAATTTTAGTACAATATGGCAATCATTTATTGTGTTATTTACAAAGCCTAGAATTTTGTATATGTAACCTGTTAAATTGTAACATTAAAAGGATGGAGCCACAGAACAGTTGTAGTTAATGTTTATATCTTTATAAATGAAAAGGCAAAATGTGTTAGATACTTGGTGTTTCTTCTCTAGAACTTTCTCAATTCTTGTCACAAACCTGTAAGCAACTGAGCAGCTTCTGTTTGTACCTAAAATAGAAAAGCATATTTTATAAACAATACAGTTTAAAGGTATGATAACTTCTGAATTTTAAGTTTGTCAAGTGGACTGTGGTTTCTACGAGTTTCCAAAATAACAAGACAGGACATTATAAGAAAAAAATTTCTTCAGTGATAACTAAGACTTTTATAAAACCATTCCACCATTGCAGTGCTGTGGAACCCATCTAGGGTCTTGTGCCTGTAGAACAAGTGTTTCTACCACTTAGCTAAATCCCTACCACATCCTTTGATTTTATGCTTTAGGACTTACTTGATCTAATTTAGATAGATAGATAGATAGATGTGTATAGATAGATGTGTATAGATGTGTATATATATATATATATATATATATATATATATAACATAATTCTGTATTGCAGCAATAAAGTAGTAACATATGGTGACAATGATACAGTATTATGTGTTGGGACAATTAGGCTTTAAAGACGTTTTTAGTTCACCCTTTAGTGCCTCAATGAAAATCTATCTGCCTTACTTTAGTTATTAGAGATGTTTTACCTGTTTATCTTCTTCCGTGTGTGCTGGATAATCCTTGGCTTTCATTAGCCAGAGCGCAGCAAGCTTTTTGTTGTTTAGTTTCAAGTATGTCTTTCCTAAAAGGAGCAAGTTTTTGCTGTAGAAGTTTGGATCCACTGTACAAAGAAATAAAATTAAATTTAGCTCAAAACAAATAGGGTTGCTCTATTTTTAAAGGTCTGATTTGAGAGTCAGTTAGTGATTAGACTACATTTTTCTTTTGCTCAACTATTATTTCAAACTGTAAACTAATTGCAATTTGTTCAATGTCTGTTACTAAGTACAGATTACATTTCTCATTTAACTACTGCATAAAGTAGATAATTCTATTTAATAGTTAAGAAGTTGAGGCTCTTGATTAAGAATGTAAGACAGTACAAACAGCTATTTTTTTAAACCTGTTTTCCTACC